CTCAAGTTCACTTTATTGAAATGAATACAATATATATGATTATTTTCTTCTAGCAAATGATGATGCACCTTCTGATAGTTCAGCAGGACAACCTGAACCAGCTGATCAGCCAATATCGCCTTCATCACCAGCACAAGGACAATTTGATCAAAATAATCAACAAGTATCGTCTTTACCAACTGATCAAAATCAACCAGGGCAATTTTATCAACAAGCACCATCTTCGTCACCTGGACAACGACAGCGATCTAACAAAATGCCATCACCAGGACGTTATATGGGTAAATATATATCTACGATATTCGAAGAAATAAAACTTAAGAGTTAATCACAAGATGATTCTTAAACGTTCTGTGTTCTATAGGACCGTATGGAACTTCGAATAGACGTGGACCATTTTCTGCTCCTGGTTATAATAATAATCAACAACCAAATAATATGCCTATGTATGGACAAAAACCTTCTTTTGGTCAAAATAATTATAATCCAACAGGATCCTCTCCTAATAATCAGTATAATCCAGGTTATTATTAAATAACTCTATTCAAGTAGACTAGTAAGAGTAATAATACGATGTATTTTTAGGTCAACAAGTACCACCTATTACAATGAGATATACTAATGAGGAAGTACCATGCACTTTATATGTCATACGTTCAGGATCACGTCGAATCATAGCAAATACTTCTGATGATGAAACTGTTACTTGGGTTTTACAGGTTCCATCAAAACCAGGTTTCATATCAGTGCCTAATTGTCTCAGTGTACATAAGACTTCTTTTGATCAACTAACTGTCAATTATATGAACGCAGATCAAACTTATGCAGAAATGCCTAATGGCACAGCGCTTGAATTTGTATCGGGTCCTGATATGAACGATATTAGTACATTTCCTGAACATATTCCTGCTCAAATGCTTGAAGTGAATATCGATGGAGCTCCATCTCCACTGCCACCACCTTCACTAGAAGTGCATATGATCATTTGTTTTGAACCAATATCCGCAGTACAGGTATTTCCTATTGATTTTGATGAATTCACATGAATATTTAGAGTATACTTTTTTTAAATTTCTTCAGTAACTAGATTTTTTCAAAGATGCACTGATATATTTATTTTTAATTTAGTACCTTTGAATAATTTAAAAAAGGGAATTCTAGGATTAAATATGATGTATATATATATCATACAACATAATGAGCAGAATCAGTTTCCTTCTATGGTCTAATTAGTCTCATGTACCTTAATTTCTAGTCTCAACAACAAGATCCAGCTACCCAATTTCAGCAATCACAACAATCCAATTCTCAGTATCAACAACAACCACTATGGACACAACAGCAACAACCATATCCTCAATATCAACAATCTAATTCTCAGTATCAACAACAACCACCATGGGCACAACAACAACAACAACAACAAAGACCATCTCAACAATATCAACAATCCCCATGGGCACAACAACAACAACAACAAC